GGGACAGGGACAGGGACTGGGAGAGGGACAGGGACAGGGACAGGGACAGGGACAGGGACAGGAGCAGGACAGGGACAGGGGTTGGGACAGGAGCAGGGGCAGGAGAGGGCAGAGACGGGGACAAGGGCTGGGACAGGGACAGGAGTGGGCGGAGACAGGGAGAGGGGCAGGAGCAGGAGCAGGGACAGGGACAAGAATGGGCAGAGACAGCGACAGGGACAGGAGAGGGCAGGGGCTGGGGCAGGGACAGGAATGGGCAGGGACAGGGGCAGGGACAGGGAGAGGGGCAGTGGCAGGGGCAGGACAGGGACAGGGACAAGGAGAAGGCAGGGACAGGGTCAGGGGCTGGGACAGCAGCAGGGGAAGGGACAGGGACAGGGACAGGGGCAGGAGCAGAGACAGGTGTAGGAGTGGGCAGAGGCTGTGCTAGGCAGGGTCTCAGCCAGGGAGCTGAGAGGGACTCTGTCCCTGTCCTTGCAGGACACCACGAGCAAAGCAGGTCCTGGCAAACCTGGAGCCGTTCCGGGTGTCCCGGGAGCAGTGCATGAAGGCCCTGCAGATCAACAAGCTGCGGAAATGGTCCCAAGACAGTTCCTCTGGTGGGTATTCCCAGGCATGGGAGGTATTTTCCCCCGAGGAAGGACGTCCTGTCCTGCTGGATGGGTGAAAAGAGAGCAGGGGGTTCTGAGGCTGTGCCCCTGAGCCAGAGCTGCCCTTCAGTCCCAGGGCTGTGGCCACAGGCACGGCCAGGCCAGGTGGGGACACAGGGGGGTTCCTCTGGGGTTTGGTCTGGCCAGGTCTTGGCACCTTGGCAGGGCAAGGCTATCTTGTACACCTCAGAACCCTCCAGGACCACGCCTGGTGAGCAGAAGGTCTCTGCCCTCCTCTCTGCAACTCCAACTGAGCAGTTTATGATTCCCCCTTAGCTTGGTGAAGCAGAAGGAGCTCCGTGACCCCAGAGAAGAGCAGAAGTGAGACGTGGGCTCAGGGCAGCCACAGTGCACCAGGAAAAATGGAATAAAGGAATCCCTCACCTGGGTGTGTGAGTTCCTTCTGTGCCCCAGGGAACAACAGTGTTTGGTGACTGCTGGACACGGATTGACGTGGAAGGGACCACAGGGAGTCTCTTGGTCCCACTTCCCTGCTCCATCCCAGAGCACGTGGAACAGGATTGTGTCCAAAGTGTTCTGTGATATCCCCAGGGAGGAGACTCCACACTCTCCCTGGACAATCCATTCAGTGCTCAGTCACTGCATAGCAAAGAACTTCTTCCTCAGCTGGAACTTCCTGGGCATCAGTTCCCACCCAACCCTCTTGTCCCATTGCTGGGCCCCACCAAGCAAAGCCTGGTCCACCCTTTGACCAACCTTTTGGGTTGGGATTAGGTTTAACACTGTGATTAGGGGTTAGGGTGTTAGGGCTGGTGTTCAGGTTAGGGAGCAGTGTTGGTCATTAGGGTTAGGTTTAGTGTATTACAGTTAGGATTAGGATTATTTTAGGGTTAGGTTTAGTAGGTAGTGTTAGCATTAGGTTCAGAGATAGGTATTAGGTTTAGGTTTAGTGGCAGTATTAGAGTTATGTTGGGTTAACCCAATTAGGGTTGGGTTTAGCATTAGGGCCAGAGTTAGGATTATATTTTTCATTAGGGTTAAGGGTCAGGTTTAATTCTTAGGGTCAGGGTTAGGAACTAGGTTTAGGGTTAGAAATTAGATTTAGGGTTAATGGTGGGGTTAGTGTTAGGTTTGGGGTTAGGGTTGGGTTTGGAGTGAGGTTCAGGGTTATGGTTAGGGTTAAATTTGGGGTGAGCCTTCGAGTTAGGCATATGTTTGGTTCAGGTTTAGGATGTCTCTTGCGACACCTCTGCAAAATTTCTCCTCTCTATTTCCCTTCTCTCCAATCTCTGGGATGCTCCCAGTCACTGCGTGTTTGTTTCCCCCAGAAAGCATCTCTGTCTCTTTAACTTCTCTGCAAGGCTGGACTTGATCTGAAGGCTGTGCTTGATAATCCTCGAGATCTTTTCCATCCTCAACAAGTCTCTGTTCCCCTCAGTTTCTGTTTAATCTGTTCTTTAGTCTCCACCAACTTGTACTCGGTCTTAAAAAGGGTCAGGATAAGCCAGGCTGTGGAGAAGGAAATGGTTGTAGAGACTCCCCCTGGAATCTCTTCAGAGGAACTTTTCTGTGCCCTCTGCAGTTCCATCCCTGGCCCACACTGATGAAATTTAGGGCAGAGGCTGAGTTGTTGAGGATTTGTCAGTGATGGCTCCCGGCCATGGCAGCACAGAAAGCAGAGAAATCAGAACAGAAGAGGAAACCTACTCCTATTGTTAAAAAAGGTCCTTCCAGGAGTCCAAATTTTATGGCTGAGGCATGAAGTGGGCTGGTGGAGAGAAGCAAGGCCAGCCAGTCCCCAGGCAACACTGTCAGCTCTAGGGTTACTTCAGCACAGTTTTTGGGTTATATTGAACCATAGATTTTCCACTCCCTCCTCCAAGGCCATGCCTGGGATCTCCAGGCTGCTTTAGTTCCCAGGATTTGGTTCCAAGCACAATGGTGGTTTCACCATAACTTCACCAACAAAGTTACATCAGCAACCGGAGCCTTTGTGGCACCAAACACTGCTGAGATCTGAGGAAGTTCTCAGTGGGTGACTGTTGCCCCCTCCTGTTCTGCCGGGACCAGGAATGTTGGTTTCCTGCTCTCCCTGTTAATCCAAAGCCACAAAATGCCAGAAATCATTTACAGATCAAAGGACCTGAGCTTGACGTCAGACCTGAGCTGAGTGAGGTGAGTTGTTGCCTCTCCGTCCATGTGACATTGTCGTGTTCGTGGATAAGAATGAAACTCATGGAGAAATGGATTTGGTTCCTGGCAGTTTTTTCCTTATTCATAACCCCCCTCCTTTTAACACTTGGATTTTAATAAGGTGCTGCAAGAAGCAGCACTAAAGGGGGGTCAGGCCCTGGCACAGCTACCAGGAGGGGTCACCATCCCTGGAAGTGTTCAAAACACCTGTGGAGGTGGCACTTGTGCACATTCTTTAAGTGATGAAAAGACCCATTATCAGGTGACTTTGTGATCTCAGAGGTCTTTTCCAACATTAATTCCACGATTCCATATTTGCACCTTCTCAGTACCTGGAACCCACAGAACTGAGGGTAATGACTGGGTCAGTTTTTTTTGTCTCTCCTTCAAAACCTTTTTGTCCTTCCCAGCTCTGCAGCCAGAAGGGTGGAGCCTGAATTCCTGGGGGTGCATTGGATCCATCCCCATATTAATTTATGGCATGTTGGAATATTTTGACCACCCGTGGCCCAAAGAGGGAGCAACTCATAAATCCCAGGATTTGCTTGGGTGTGACTGAGTTGGTCTGACAAGGAGCAGATAACTGAGAGTCCTCTGGGGGTTTATGATATGTCCGTAAAAAACTTGGATTAATGAATTACCAAACCAATGCTCGGTGAAGTCTTTATAAACTCTGAGTGCTGGGCAGAGAGAAGGTCTGAGAGACAAAAAAAAGGCGGAGAAAGACCAAATCTAGAGAAAATAAATTATATCTAGGTTAGCAGAGGCTCAGCTTTGCAGGTACCATGAGAGGCCTCCTTCCCTCTGCCATCCTGGCAGTCCTTGTGCTGGTGCACAGCTCCTGGGCAGTCTATGTGCAGGTGAGTTTTCTCTCTTTAATTTTTTTGGTATTAAGGGTTCAACAAGGTGCTGGTATTATTCAAACTTGTGGCTGCAACAGGAATCTTGAACTCAAGTAAAGAGACCTGGACTTTTGGTATTCTCTGCCTTGATATCCAACTGCCTCTCCCTGTGCTCCACGTTTGCTTTCTGTTAAATTCTCTGGGTGTCACTAAAATGCTGTTTATTTACCTTCTACTGGCACATCCCTGCTCTGAAATCTCTCAGGTGTTTTGTGTCCAGGGTTTTCCTTGGCACATAATCCCAAGGTGCAAGAACTGGGGATGCCTCTAATTTTAATCCAAAGCCACAAAATTTCAGGGAATTGATGCAACCCTCTAACTTTGGAGAACGATGTAAACAAGGTGTGACACAAGAGAAATTGTCTTGTCTCGCCTGGGTCTGGGCAGGAGGGTCTTTATGAAAACAATCTGTGTGTTTATGGGATGGACCTACAAGTTTCACCTGTAAGAAAAGATGGAAAAACTACTTTCCTTGACCCAGTGGAATATCAAGAGGCAGAGAAGTAATAAGACAAGGCTCTATTAAGTTTTCCAAAGTACACAGCACCTGATATTCCATGTACACTGGCTGACAGTCTATGTACATAGACTAATATTCCATGTGACATGGAAGCAGTTAGGAAGGTCCTGCAGTGCTCTGGTCTGTCCTTGGGAGAGCTTTGGATCATCCTGAGAAACAGTTTGGGAGATTTCAGTTTGCCTTGCCAACAACTTCCTCCGAGTTCCAAGAGAATTAATGTTCCTTAAACAATTATTGACTCTGTGTGTGCAGCAGCTTTCCAGGGATAAGGTATCTTTGTGCCTTGGACTATCCTCTCTTTGTCCTTTGGATGACAGAGATATCCAAAGGTTTCAGTTATTCCTTTCCTCCAAATCATTCTTCAACAAATTAGTCTTTTGAGGAGCAGATATCTTCCTACTTCACGGGAAAAAAACCCTCAGTTTTCCACTTGGAGGCATTAAAAACAAACCCTAAATGAGAAGAGCTGTTTCTAGATTAGGTAAAAGTGCAGGAAGTGGATTTTGAGCTAAGCATTAAATCCATGTTTTCCCCAGTGCACCAGCACTGTGCTCTGGGTGTGTTGCCCTCCTTTCACCTGCACCCCTCGAGATCCCCGAGGTCTCACTTGTTCCTCACTGCACAGAGTTGGCTTCCACCCTTCTTCTCTGAAGTTCTTCCCCAAAACCTCCCTTCCCTCTCCTTTAACAGCCCAGAAATGGTTCATTTAAAGAAATGTTTTGCAAAGAGCTTCATTTGATGTCCCAGCTTGGTTTTGAAGTCTGAGTGTCACTGTCCTGGTGCTTCCCATCACAAATATGGAGGGAATAGGATGGGAATTGGAGGAATATGAGTTACCTCAGCTTGGAGGGGTTCACGTGCTCAGATTTAGCTCTGTAATACACTGTTCTTATCTGAGATGGTGGGGGTTTTTTCTCTATTTTTGTTGTTCCTTTGTTCTCTTTTGTACCCATGACCTGCATGTCCAAGAGTTTGTTCCTAATTCCTGGGTTCTCTGAAATTGTCCCTGTTGAAATTCACCTTTTTTTAGTTCTCTGTTTTATGTTTCTGATGTCTGTGAGCAACAGCTGAATTTGGAACTCCTTTTATAGAGGAAAATTCGATTTATCATAGGCAACCAGAGCTGGTTTAGGTTGGAGATGAGGTCCTCATGTCCAGTCATTAACCCAGCCAGGTGGCCAGAGCCACCACTAATCCATGTCCCCAAATGCCACATCCACTTGTTTTTTGATCACTTCCAGAGGTGGTGACTCCACCACTGCCCTGGAACCAGTGCCTGACCATCCTTTATAGAATCATAAAATCACTAGGGTTGAAAAAGCCCTCTGAGATCATCGAGTCCAACTGATAAATGGAACCAGAGTAAAAAAATAAACTGATTGCAAGAGCAAAGAGTTTGACTTTGTTGAGAAATTTAATATCCAACATTTATGTGGTTGGGTTTTTTTTAAAGCTTTAACACCGAAATTCTCTGATTCTGTAAAAAAACCACATAAAATCTATCAGAGCCAACTACTCCCCATTTATCTCACACTTTTCACCACTCAGCTCATGAGATTATGAAGCAAAAGACAAAATTTAGTCTTGTGCTGTATCAGAATCACTTTTTTTCTGTGAATGAGTTGCTTTATCCCAGAATCCCAGAATGGTTTGGGTTCAAAGGGGTGTTAAAACTCACCTCGTTCCACTCCCTGCCATGGGCAGGGACACCTTCCACATCCCCTTTGGGATATGTTGGCCATTAAAGCAGGTTAAAAGAGAAGATAAAGATAAAATTGAAAGTGCTTATTTCTCTTCTAGGCCAAGCTCTTCTAATCTGCAGGCAGGCACAAACTTTGTGGACTTGGTTTAGCAGCTGCAACACCTGCAGCTTAAATTTATGACATCGAAAGGGGGAATTCACTGGGAACTGAGGGAATGACCATTAACAGTGATTTAAAATAATGGAGTAATATTTCCCAGAATCCTTTCCTGGCCTCCTGAAGATTTTGCAGTGAGCTTTGAGAAGTGTCATATTTTATGCTTCCAATAAGTTGAGTTCCACAAACTGTGTGTGAGACAAATTTTAAATTGGCACAGGGGGGGATTGTTGGGGTGTCCTGTGCTGGGCCAGGAGTTGGGCTTGATGGTCCTCAAAGGTCCTTTCCAACTTGGAAGCTTCTGTGATTCTAAATTGATGGAAACTTGCCACTTCCCTGAGACCCTGGCACAGGTTGCCCACAGAAGCTGTGGCTGCCCCATCCCTGGAAGTGTCCAAGGCCAGGTTGGACAGGGCTTGGAGCAAACCAGTTTATTAGAAGGTGTCCCTGCCCATGGCAGGAGGTGAAAGGAGATGGGCTTTAAGGTCCCTTTCAACCCAAACCATTTCATGTTTCTGTGATATTTCCCAGTCATCTGTTTTCCAAGCTGAGGATTCTTAGCCCAGCTCTTTTGACCCCAAGTGTTTTGGGGATCACTCCTGGGGGTGAGCAAGGCCCCAGTTGTGCCTCTGTCCACTGTGACACCCAACAGAGGCCTGACCAGCAGTTGGGTCTCACAGCTGCTCTGCAATGTCTGTGTCTTCAAGACCTCATGATTTTGCCTCGAGTCACCACAGGTTTTATCCAGCCTTCCTTTCAGCACTGTCTTTTCCTTCTATCACATTTTTTGGGAGAGCTGGAGGTTGAAATGGAAAGGATTTACCCGAGGACTGACTCTCCTTATGTCTTTTTTTTTTCTTCTGGTTCTTTCTACACAGGATGGAGACTTGAAATTCCCCCTGGAATCTGTGAAGAAGCTGAAGGAGCTCATGGATGGAAACAGGCCTGTCAGCCCTCGCCTGGTGGTGCCCATGGCCAGTCACACTCCGTGCCAGGAGATATCTCTCCCTGAGGAATTCCAGTCTGTGTGCAAGAGGGAAGATGCCCACAAGATTTTCCAGAGGCTGAGTATGTCTCTCATATTGCAGAGTTGCCATTCTAATGCCACTTTTCCGCCTTAGACATTAAAATGGCCAGAGGCACAGACGTGGAAGGACTGTCCTGTAGCTCCTGAAGGAGCTGAGAGGGTTTGTTCTGCCTTTATGATGCTTTTTCTCCCACAAGGGTTGGGCTGCACGAGGTGTGAGGCCCCTAAAGAAGATTCCTGCTGTGCTGTGCCCTGTGCACACCATGAAAAAGTTCATCCAAGTAGAATCATGGAATCACTGAATAGTCTGGATTGGAAGGGACATAAACCCCATCCAGTTCCACCCCCTGCCGTGGGCAGGGACTCCTTCCACCAGACCATATCTCTCCAAGCCCAGTCCAACCTGTCCTTGGACACTTCCAGGATGGGGAAGCCATAGCTTCTCTGGGCAACCTGTGCCAGGGCCTCCCCACCCTCACAGGGAACAACATTCTTCCCTAATATTTAATCTAAATCGACCCTTTTTCAACTTAAAGCCATTCCTGCTGCCCAAAGCTCCCCTGCCATGCTCTGCTGCTGCACTGGTTGCTTTTTCACGTTATTATATTCCATTTATAACCTGTCCAATGCAATGGACACTTCAGAAAGAAATGTTGCCACGTGCTGCTCTCCTCTGGCCCCCTCAACACGTTCATCTCGCTTCCCGATGAATTTGTGTTCGATTTCATTCCTTAAGCCAGATTTTAGTACTTTCAAGGAATATTAAAGCAATAGAACAGTGATGGGGAGGGCTCTCCAAGTCCTTTGGCACTTGGCTCTGCTCCCTTGGCCTCTGGTTTACCCTCCCCTCTCCCTGTGCCAGGCCTGGCTGCTGAGGACGACCTGTGTGAGATCTGTGCCAACGCCGCCTGCGCCGGGTGCTTCTGAGCGAGGAACCATCCCAAAGAAGAGGTGTCCAGCTGGCAAGTTTGTGCATTCCTTTGGCGAGATC